AAGTGCAGGAATTGAACTGTTAAGTAATTGGATAACAGATTGTGGAATTTTAATTTCTTGCCATTGGAGTGGGAGGTTGCAGACAAGCAAGAGAAGGTGGTGAGAAAGATCCATGTGTCACTGGATTAGATTCAGACACACCAGTATTGCTCACACTCAGTTTAATATACTGTGCGTGGTGCATATAGAAATATTTATAGATACATGTGTATCCATGGGCTACTTTACACATGTATTTCCTTAATTTTCCAGAAACAATGACACCAGTTCCAATTTGTCGTTATTTTCTGGTACTACTCTCCAATAAAATAAACCAGGAGAAGTGGAATTTAGTCATGGAATTGGAGTATAGGCATGGAATATGCCTCTTGTAATGCCAGAAAGTAAGGAAATGCCTTAAGAAAAGAAAAAAGACCAAACAACCCTACAATTATTGAAGTATGTCAAATAGACACAGCTACCAAATGAAAGAGATCAATATGAGCAATAAAATCAGCAAAGTATTACTGGATTATAATCTAAAGTGTTGAATAGTGTCCATGAGACCCCACACTCAAGGAGGAAGGAGGGCAAAGTCCTATAAGTTACATATGAGCTGCACATAGTCCCTTGTTCCCAAGGAGTATAGTGTAGAAGAGAGGGGGGAAAATAAACTGTCACAGTGGAGAAAACTGAACACCATCACCTCAGGCAGGTGAGCAAGTGTCAACGTCAACCATAATGGGTCACCTTGATAGGATTACGTAGCCTTGATATGATGTGCTGAGAACACCACCTAACCTTTGTTTTCACCCATTACAAAATCCATAACCATAATCTAATCATGCAAACATCAAACAAATTCCAGTTGTTACAAATTCTACATTATATCTAAAAGTCATCACCAAAAATTTCAACAAGTTTGAGTAACTATCATAGCTTTGAAATCACTAAGGATACATAATGAGTAAATAGGAGGCAACCTGGGTGGGATCCAGGTACAGAAAAGAGATGAATGGAAATAAACCTAATGTAAAAACAGAGGAAACATAAAACAGTGCATTTTTAAGTAATAATATATTGGTATTGGTTCATTAGTTGTTACAAATATACTGTCTTAACATAAGATGCTAGTAATAAGGGAAATAAGATTGAATAATCTTTGCAAAATTTCTGTACTATCTTTGCAACTTTTTGGTAAATCTAATACAATTTTAAAACAAAACTTGAACATACAATGAAAATCAATTGGGTGTCAGTTCTTTCTAGAGAGATTAGGCTTGAGTAATATTATAAGAAGTATAAACAAGCAATTGTTCCAAAAAGAGGTTAAATAAATTTTAGGCAAGTTTAGTTTCTGATTCATCCAGTCCAAATATCTGGAGTGCAAAATAACATTTCCCTTCTGGCAATGTGTTTCCTTAAGATTGGGAGGAAGGGTGGCTCAGCCTCACGTACCTCAGCACTGAAGGTTGAACTGCACGTCAAAATTTTAAAAGAAATTCTTAATGTCTTTAATTAAAAAGACAAAATATTTCCATCAAGTAGTCTTATCACTTATAATTTCCGGATTGAGAGTGAATCAGCTCTGACAGGTACATTTGCTGGGCGACACAGGAAGGAGCACTGCCCTATTAAAGCTCTATAATACACTCAAGATTTGTTCCCCACGTTGGCCATTTTAGACACAACTGACTTCATCCAATTAGAAGACAGTGGGATCAAAGAGTCACACATTATCATGGAGAGCTAGCCACATGTATGTCGTCATCCTGTGACACCTGTGCACTGGGTTAATGGCACCATGAATGCTGATATCAGAATGCAAGGGATCCCATTTTCCTCCATCCCTATGAGAAGAAGACAGGTGGTGCGTTTAGAAGGCACTTCATTTCAATTCTGAGACATCCATTAAACAATCTGAAGATGAATAGGAAGGGAGAACATTTGTAAATTTGTTTTTTAAATGTCATGAATTAGTCAATAAAAGATGTGTAGGAATTATCATGCTGTATAAATCACATTACTTAGAATCATTCTTATAAGATCGGGTTTTCAGCTGTAATAGGAGTTGAAGACTCCAGAGGAGGGATGTGGGAAGAGGGGAGAAGTCAAGCAAGCAATGACTCTAAAGGACCACTGGGGAATGATCAGTGTTTACATAAAGCAAAACTCTTCACCCAACCCACTTGAATTTTCAAGAGGTTAAGAGCATTTTTAGAGAGCTAGATAAGGTACAAGGTTAGGTTCCTTGGTTTCTTATGTGACTTGACTCACAGGCAGGGACTATGGGAGTCAAAGGAGTGGGATGACTTCTGGGACCAGGCAGATTTCTAATCTCGGAAGAGATGACAGGACTAGATTGCCAGAAGCTCGGTACACAATGTCTTCAGAACCCTCCCCTAAAGGCTCTGTGTCATTTTCTGCTGTACACACACAAACCCTAGAGGCAGATCCAAAAACCGAGGCCCAAAGATGAAGATATTTCCCTAGTACTCTAGAGCTACCAACAATCTTCCTGTTTTCCCCTCCTAATAGCAATATGTTCTCTTTATTTCAGGGTACACCACCAGATACTAAGTCCTGACATATATCACCAGTCAACCCAAGTGCACAACTCTAGTCCCAAGATCTGCGCTTGTTCACCAAATTAGCCCTGCTTTAGATTTTTGTTTGTTTAGCTTTTTTACTGTTCTTTGTTTTTGTTTCTGTTTTGTTTTTGGGTGGTTGTTGTTTACTTTATCTTGTTAGTATTTTCCTCCTCCAGGAACATCATGGTCTATGCATTTAGACATCTTGTGCCACCAGTGAAGAGGACCGATTCTGTAACCCCTGAGCACTTGATAAGATAAATTATACAAAAAGGACAAGATTTTCTAAGACATCTATCTGGGGTTTTACTGGGACTCTCTCTGTCCTTATCATTGTGAGCTTCCTGGAAAGTTTTATTAAGAATTCCAGAAGAATTCATCCATTTTATGGATTTTTCAGACATCACAGCATTTGCTATTTCCCCATAGATACATATCTTAAAATCAGAGAAATGAAAGTCATTTTCCCCAGGAACTGTTAGTAACTTTATTAACATTCAGTCAGTTGTGAAAATAACCTCTAACATGATTGCCCAAAGGCATGAAAAAACAGATCAAGTCAAAAGAGAAATAGAATTTATGTTCACAAATTTTAATCAATCTATCAGCTTGCTTTTAATGGGAACCTATCAAAGAGAAAATGGTGTGTTTGCCTTTGATATCTAAGTCATTCCTCTTATTCCATGTGCCTGATGTTTGTGTCTTATTTTTTCTCGTTATTAAAAATAAGAAAAATACAACAGGAACACAGGATGTTATAGGTGGGAAAGATTTTAATAATCTCCTAGCTGGACCCTTTATTCTATAAATAAGGAAAAAATACACAAAAAGGTCAGTGACTTTCCCTAGTTCATATAACCAATCAATATCAGAACTGAAACCAAAACCTAGGACTTTATTTAAATACAAAATGAAATCTAATCATGGAAAGAAAGAATAAATGTGATTTCATTTGTATGTATTTTTCTAACTGGTTGCCTACATTTGTTCTGGGTTGCTTAGCTTCAACACAGTTGAATCTACAATAATCTAAAATTTTTTAAAAGTAGTATCCATTTCCACTTAGTTCTGGAATCATAGTCAATGAAGCTAAATTTCTGCAGAAATGATCGCTGTATATTTTACCATTGTTACTACATGACTGAGACGTACAAAAAAATTGTATTCAACCCACTGATAACCACAAATACACGAGGATCGTCAAAATGCACACTACCAAATTTCAACCTTCAGTACAGGTTTCACCTTTCTGAAACTGGCTTTGTTTAGATCAGCACAGACATCTGAATAGTGGAATGTCTGGTCTCTCCCACTTCCTCAGGAATGATGAGCATTTTTAATTGCCTTTTTCATACCATTTCACACTTATGAGGCTACTGGCCATTTAGATTGAGTAGGGTCACACTCAAGCTTCAGGAAAAAGTTACAATTCACCTATTTTTTTTTTTTTACTGTTTTTGGATAAGGACAGACCATGTAACAGAAACCTAAGGCAACCAGAGAATGCTGACCCACCTGACCACAGCAATTGATTGAGAAAGGGTAGGCACAATATTTGTCCTCCCTCCCATCCTCCCCTTCATTTTTTTCTTCCTCCCTTCCTTACTGACTGACTGGTTTCATTTTTTTCCCATTAAAGTAGAACTTGGAACTTTTAGTCAAAATTTTTATATTCTCCCAGAATCACATGGTACTTAGATGAAAAGTGTGGGATCCTTGCAGACACTTTGTGAACATGAGGAAAGCCAATCTGGATTTCAGAGAAATGGAACTAAATATATCTTCAAACTGAGACTGATGTTTGTCCTATATGCAGATATGCACAATTATATTATCTAACATATTCTCATTCATGTTCCAAGTATTTGAATTATTGATTTTTCTATGGCTGCAGTGAAACAATCCAACCGATGTAACCTACTCAGAGGAAAGAGTAAGCAAAGTTCTGGAAACACAGCCCTCATACTCAAAAAGTTCATGAACTACTAGGGAAAACGATATACTAAAAAACATCATTTAAAAAGATTCTGTCTTTTAGCTAAGAATTCTTTCTGACATGGACATAAGACTTTTGCTGACATTGCCTCAATCTTTTAAAGATCATGAATAATGTTTTACAATTTACTGTAGAACCTAGAAGTGAGGCAGAATAAACATGTAACTGTCCACTTTAATTTAATAAGTAAGGATTAGAAAAGGGAAGAGATTAATTCTGTCAGCTAACTAGCTGGTCATTCATTCAATATGGTGCAGAAAAAAACCCACAAAACTTATAAGTAAATGTAAAATTACTACAAACAATAACTATATTGTACAGATAAAAGGATGTTTAGCTTAGTCACTGAAGTTATAAAATACTTCTTCAATAAAATGACAGTTGAGCTGAGATCTAAAGAATGTATAAGAATTTTCCAGGCTAGTGGTACACACCTGTAATCCCAGAGGCTCTGGAGAATGAGGCAGGAGGATTACCAAGTTCAAGTTAACTTAGGGAAGACCTAAGCAACTCAGTGAGACCCTGTTTCAACATAAAATATAAAAAAGTGATAAGAATGTGGCTCAGTGGTTGAGAACCCTAGGTTCAATCCCTGGTACCAAAAAAAAAAAGTGTAAGAATCCACTGAAGATGTATGTATATTTTAACTCAATTTAAAACTACCAGTAAAAACATAAAAAAATTACCATGAGGACAAGTCATTATTGCTTAAAATATAAGAGTATTTGAATTAAATTTATGATAAATACATACTTTATAGGATCTATACGAGTGCCGGCATAGCAGTTTCAGTCATTTTTTATGCTACTCAGTATGTTCCTATGTTGATTTTGATTGTTATTGTTTGGACCTAGAATGTTCTCCTAAAGCTCATGTGTTGAAGCCTCGGTCCCTAGCACACCAATGTTCCAAGTGGGACGTTGGGGAGGTGATTAAATCATCAGGACTCTGACCTCATAAGTGGATTAATCCACTGATAAGTTCATAACCAAACAGTCTATTAAGAGGTAGCCTACTGGGAGGCTGTAGTTGCGGGCCTAACTGAAGAAAGCGTGTCACTGTGGTGTGCCTTGGAAGGGAGGAGCTTATCCCTGGCCACTTCCTCTGCCCCCTCCCCTCCTTCCTGGCCACCATGAGGTGAGCAGATTCATTCTACCACATCTTTCTAGTGGTGATGTTCTGCATCACCACATGCCCTCAGAAATGGGGCCAAGTTAATATGGACTAAAACCTCTGAAACCATGAGCCAAATAAATCTTTTCTCCTTTAAGTTGTTTTTCCAGGTATTTTGTCACAGCTATGGAAAACTGACTAGCACATTGGTCTTTGTCTTGTGTATATTCAGATGTTTAAGCTGATTAGTAATTAGGTTAAGTGAACCACAAAAATATCATTTTCCAAACTGTCACCCCTTAGCAAAAGCACTATTCAAAATGTCACACTGTGAATGCTGCTGTTGAAAATGTCCCAAAGATTTTGTTTTTGTCTTAAAATTGTTGTCTCAAAACCAACAAAAAAGAACAAGGAATGAAAGCAGAAGCAAAGTCCATGTTCTCCGGTTGTTTAAGTCAAGGTTAATGACTTTTTAAAAAATGTTTCTTTAAGAAAAGGACACATACTTTTCAACAAATGATATTAAGAATGCTTTTGTTAATATGGTCCATGAAAATAACAGATCAGAAAATAACAAAGTGCATTAGACGTTTAGGTAACTAAAACTCAGACATTGAAAAAAGACTAAATTTTGGCACTGAAATTGTGTCAACAGTTTTTTGTTAAATTTTGTCCGTTTTGCTCATTGCTGCAGCCACTGGCACAGTGCAGGGCATCTAGCAGGTGCTCAGCAACCATCTATTGACTAAAACTAGAACCATCTATTGATCTATTGACTTGAACCCTCCCAGCATCTCTTTTATCTATTGGTTCTTCAAATAACTAGTATTGAGGATGTATCTCTTATAGTTGTTCAATATTCTTCTTCTGCTCCACCACCTTTCTTTCTTCAAACATTACACCTGTGTGGCAGGAAATGATTCTTGTGCAATCCGTCAGGATTCAAAGGACAGTTTCCATAGAAACCAACACCAAAACGCCCTCATGATTTTTCATGCAGAGCCATGACAGCAGATTCAACTGACTTAAGAGGATACACACTGTTCAAATGATGACATGTCCACTTTTATGTGCTAAATATATGAAGGGATTCTAAGTGTCATTGGCCTTTAGCTAAAGAGTTACATTAAGATGGAAAAGTTTTATTTTAAACATAATTGCTACATTGGTAAGGAAGTATTACTATTTTATTATCTCCTAATTTTATCTGGATACATTTATAGGACTAACTGGTCAAACCAAGTTCATCTATTGGACAGTAACTACAGTAAATTAATGAATCAGTAGATATTATAAAAGTCCATTTTTTATACTTACACCTGTGTTATCAAAACAAAAAAACAAAACAAAAAACCCAAATCAAAAAAGCAATATCCATAGACCACAACCACCAACCGCCAACCACCAAACACACTAACTATCTGGGAGTCCGACAGGTCACCACCAAGAGCTTCCTGTACTTGTGGACAAAACCCAGCCTCAGCCACCCCCTTATATACCGGCTGTTTGAGATTCCTCACAATGGCTCCTTGTAAGGTCAGAGCTAGAAATGGCCCAGTCATGGCTGGCCATAGCCCCAGTGGTCCTCTCCCTCTGGGGCCTCCAGAACTTTTTCCATTTTCAGAATAAGAATAGAAAAGGACTCCAGATGTTTTTTTTTTTTGCTCCAGTGGGGTGTGGAGACTGATGTTTGCTTGTTTAGAAATCAACATTTGTACACTAGCTCAATGGACTTGTCATTTCAAGTCTCCAAATTTCTACTGACTTTGGGCTTTGGAAGACCTTGTCCTACCTGCACTCAAGGCATTCAGTTCCTTTCTCTTCGTGGAATTACCGTCAAAAGTGCGGTAGCCCCTCATCCACCTTGTGATACCACAACTGAATGCTCTGTCCCCTGAGACACTCTAGCGCTCAGTCTTCACACCTATGGGGTTGGGAGGGAGGAAGGCGTCCTCATCATTTCCTCAGATGGTCCTCATAAGACCTCCTCTTAGAAGCCCTGGAATGCAAAAGACTTGATAGATTCAAAGTGATAAAAACGTGGAAGCCAAAAATCCTACAAAGGCTAAAGTGTCCTTCCCAAAGAGGGAAGAAATGGAGGCGTTCCTGAGGACTGGGATCCCTCATGCTGCTGGAGCAAAATACCTTAGACTGGGCAATTTATGAACAGGACTTAATTCTCCCGGTTCTGTAGACGGGCAAATTCAAGAACAAAGCACTTTGTTGATGAATCCACACATGATGGGAGGGGCAGAGGATTTAACTGGATCCCTCAGTCACCTTTCTTTTATTTTTTTTTATGAGGGGCATCCTGGTGATTTCACCCAGGACCTCACACATGTCAGGAAAATCTGTACCACCGAGGTACAGGCCTAGCTCCCCAGAAGAGCAAAGGTTTTGCACTGTGGAGAAAACAAACCTGGAGGTCCCACATTGTCCAGTATTACTCCTGGTTTGTCTATTAGAAAATCTTCAGTGCTCCCACTTTGCCAAAGTGAACATGGCCAAGTGAGTCCTGTGGTCTTCACAGTCATGTCAATCGATGTATGGTAGGGGTGGCCCGATGGGGGACATCCCTCCTGGAGTCCAAGCAGCACGTCCCTGGGGGTAAAGGCAGGAAGAGGGAGTGTTTTGAGAAGCTAACACCGGACTTATGACTTCCACCAGCAATCTGGACTTCAGCTGCCTCAAACACATCACAGGGACACAATGAACCTGCCAGGAAGGTGCCACAGAGGAGGCTGTGGCTCTGTGAGATGGAAGATAGATCAGGCGAGGTCAGTGAGACAGAGATGAAATCATTCAAGGAGGGCAGGCCTGAGATACTCGCACTGGGAAGGAGGCCTTGAAAAGCCTTCCCAGGGCCAGCGGTGCCAGGAGGAAAGGAAAAACCAGACTCCTTCCATCCAGCCTGAGCCACCCACACCAGGGCCATCTCTGTTACCAGAAAGCAGAGAACCAGCTGAGAGAGAAAGGGACTCTGTGGAGGGAAAGCACCTGCACAGCTTGGGCCCCACCCAGAGCAGAGCTGGGGCACAGGCAGATGGGCAAGGAGGGTGGTAGGGAGGGAAGGACTCTCTGGCTCCTGAGGCCTGGCAAGTGGGAGTCCACGTCACGCTCCCAGAGCAGAAGCAATTATTTTTAAAAGCAGTTTTTTTTTGTTTTTGTTTTTGGTAGCCATAGTCATGGTTAAAGATGCAAATGTTGTGCAAGTGCCCCCAGCACTGTCCCTCAGCTTCACAATCTGCTTCTCTCTCCAGGTTGTTCATTGCACATAGAGACATAGATCCTGACACACACCTACCTGAGGACAAGCAGCACACAGTCAGTGCCTAGCTTGGCACCTTGTTTTGACACTTTATCACTTATTTATATCTGTCAGGATTTTTTCTCCAGATTATTGCCCAGAATTTATAAAGAAGAGTGATTGAGGGATCCAGTTAAATCCTCTGCCCCTCCCATCATGTGTGGATTCATCAACAAAGTGCTTTGTTCTTGAACTTGCCCGTCTACAGAACCGGGAGAATTAAGTCCTGTTCATAAATTGCCCAGTCTAAGGTATTTTGCTCCAGCAGCATGAGGGATCCCAGTCCTCAGGAACGCCTCCATTTCTTCCCTCTTTGGGAAGGACACTTTAGCCTTTGTAGGATTTTTGGCTTCCACGTTTTTATCACTTTGAATCTATCAAGTCTTTTGCATTCCAGGGCTTCTAAGAGGAGGTCTTATGAGGACCATCTGAGGAAATGATGAGGACGCCTTCCTCCCTCCCAACCCCATAGGTGTGAAGACTGAGCGCTAGAGTGTCTCAGGGGACAGAGCATTCAGTTGTGGTATCACAAGGTGGATGAGGGGCTACCGCACTTTTGACGGTAATTCCACGAAGAGAAAGGAACTGAATGCCTTGAGTGCAGGTAGGACAAGGTCTTCCAAAGCCCAAAGTCAGTAGAAATTTGGAGACTTGAAATGACAAGTCCATTGAGCTAGTGTACAAATGTTGATTTCTAAACAAGCAAACATCAGTCTCCACACCCCACTGGAGCAAAAAAAAACATCTGGAGTCCTTTTCTATTCTTATTCTGAAAATGGAAAAAGTTCTGGAGGCCCCAGAGGGAGAGGACCACTGGGGCTATGGCCAGCCATGACTGGGCCATTTCTAGCTCTGACCTCACAAGGAGCCATTGTGAGGAATCTCAAACAGCCGGTATATAAGGGGGTGGCTGAGGCTGGGTTTTGTCCACAAGTACAGGAAGCTCTTGGTGGTGACCTGTCGGACACCAGATCCTTAGTGCGCTTGGTGGTTGGCGGTCGGTGGTTGTGGACTGTGAATATTGCTTTTTTGATTTGGGTTTTTTGTTTTGTCTGGTTTTGGTTTTTGATTTTGATTTATTGTTTTGGTTTGTTATTTTATTTTCCAGTTAGCATCCTGAGTGGGTGTTCCTGCTCAGGGTGTCCATGGTTAGCAACAGTAGTCAGTCTACAGTAGCGTTGTGGGGGCCGGGCTCCTGCCAGGAGCCAGACTTCCTGGACCAGTACGAGGTCCTGAGGGCCATTGGGCATGGCGAGTTTGGTCAGGTCTACCTGGCCCGCCATCGCCTCACAGGGGCAGATGTCGCAGTGAAAGTCCTGAAGACGGAGACGCAGGACATCTCGGACCTCTCCGAACCTCTAATGTTGAGGAGCCTGGAGCACCCCAACATTGTACAACTCTTTCAGGTGATGAGGACCAGGAAAAACCTGTACATGGTGATGGAGTACACAGGTGGGGGACAGCTACTTGAGCATATCCCCCCTGGTGGCATGCAGCAGGAGGAGGCCTGCAGAATCTTCAGGCAGATCGTGTGTGCCCTGGGCCACTGCCACGACAAGGGCATCGTGCACAGGGACTTGAAGCTAGAGAACATCATGCTGGATGCCAGAGGACATGCAAAACTTATTGACTTCGGCTTCAGCACCAGGTTCACAGCCGGGCAGAAGCTTAATGACTTATGGGGTACTCTGGCTTACATCGCCCCAGAAATTGTCCTGAAGCAAGAGTATGAGGGCCCCCCAGCGGACATCTGGAGCCTGGGCGTCATCCTGCACTGTATGTTGACGGGGAGCTATCCATTCAGGGGGGACACCCCTCAGGAGTTGCTGATGAGGATCACTCTGGCCAGGTTCCAGGTGCCCAGCTCTGTTCCGGTCAAAGCACGAAGGCTCATCCGCCAGATCCTGGTCCTGAACCCCAAGAAGCGACCCACAGTGAAGCAGATCCTGCAGCACCCCTGGCTGCGGCAGGGTGAGCCGTGTGCACCCCATCCTTCCAGCCAGGCCCTGCCCACACGCCCAGACCCTGCCATCCTGACCATGGTGTTCGACCTGGGTTTTGATCCCTACCAAACCTGGGTGTCTCTGGCCAAGAGGAAGTTCAATGTGGTCATGGCGACGTACCTCATCCTGAAGCACCAGCAAGGCCAGGGGGTAGGGAGCACCTTCCAGGGGCAGCCTGTGCCTCAGTGGCTTAGGCCTTGCCAGCGCCCCGAGAATCTCTCCAATGTCCCTGTCCTCCCAGAGAGGAGCACCAGCCAGCCTGCCCTGCGCACCTTCCCCTTGCCCTCTGAGTATCTGCTGCCCGAGGACGCCCAACAGCCAGGGCACAGGGACATCAGGGGTGGCAGCCTGCCTGCCATTCCTCTGCGCTGCCCGCCTGCAGGGGCCCCCACTCTCCGCAGCTGCTCCCAGTCTGACTCTGGCTTCCCCAGGCCCAAGCCCTCCAGGGTCCTCGTCTGGTGGTCCAGGGCACACAGCAGCTCCTCCTCCCTGGACACAGCCCCGAGGCAAGGCCCTGGCCACACCAATGGCTGGAAACAGGTGAGGAGCAGGATCGCTGCCTGTGTCCGAGCCCTGTGCTGCTGCTGTGTGCCATGTGTCAGCAATAAAATGGCTCAAATGTCACAGAGAAGCGACGTGCCACACCCATAGACGGCCTGCCTCCAAGGAAGTGGAGAGCCAGACAGACAGACAGTGCCAGTGGACGGCCGTCTCTCCTCTGCCCCCACCTGCGGAAGACCTCAGAGGCTGTTCTGCCTGGGACACTTCGCCCTGCTGGGACACTTCGCCCTGCCCCTCTCTCCTCTCCCACAATTCTTTTCAGATGTTTCTTAATAAATTGGTTTCAAATTGGATCCTAACCTTTTGTTCCAAAGATTAAATTGTAGGCTGATTAGAAGTAAGGTGGGGCCTCAGGCTGAGGGCAGGGCCCACAGGGTCCAACCCGCCATCCTCTCCCAGGCCTGACCTCTGTGCCTCCCTCTACAGTGCAGGTAGAGACTCACTGGCCTTGAGCCATCATGGAGCATTGGGTTGCTTTGAGCTGGTTCAGACAGATTTGTTCTACACTGGCTCTCCCCTTGAGCCAGTGTAGACATGACTTTTACTTGGTGACCTTGGCCAGGAGGAGTCCCTACCTGAGCATTGTCCACAGGGTGGGTGGCAACTGTTGAACAAATCACCTCTGAGAAGACCTGGGCGACCCCAGTGTTCTGTGGCATCGTCTTCATGATAGTGTGTGCAGGGAAGGGAGATGGGAGAGCGGGCAGGGCGGGCCTGCCTGAGGGGTCCTGGGCAGGGGTGAAGGGACTCAGCACAGGGACAAAGGAGGACGGTGTTAAAGCATTGCCAGTGCCGGGAAGAAGAGATGCAAGGGACGGTGCACCCAGGCACATGTGTGCCCACCTGGCATGGCGGGGTCCTCTGTCACTGCCCCATTGGGAAGCATTCTTGATGACTCCAGTGGTCCATGGCATGCCTGGTCACTTCCTTAGTGACTCAAGTGCCTTGGAAAATAAGGGCTGGGATCACATATCTTCTCACAATGGCCTGACGTTTGGGGAGGAATCCGCCTCATCTGTGTGATGGGCCAACTCCTAGCCCCTCACAGTCCTTGTTTTGAAGTCCTAACCCAGGAGCTCAAAGTGTGCCCAGATGGAGAGACCGGGTCTACACAGGGATTATTAAGTTCAATGAGGCATCTGGATGGCCCTAATCAGAGGTGAGCCATGTCTTTTGTCTGGCAGAGGAAATCCGGGCACAGACTCCCAGAATTACCACTATGAGGATCAGGCAGGGAGTCCATCTGCAAGCTCAGAGAGAGGCCTCAGTGGCCACCTGCCCTGACTACACTGGCTGACAGATGCCG